CAGATATTTTTGTTACCTCTTATTTCGTTGGTAACAAAATTTACAGTGAGCTCAGAATACGAAATGGTAACAAAGTTTATTGAATGGTAAATTTTAATACCTAGGTAAATTTTGTTATCTTCTGTCGAGGCCTGTTAGTGATAAAATAAATGACATTTGTCATTCTCTTTTTTTATACTAATATATCAAACTCTAGCGACGTACAGTATAAAGAAGAACTGTTTCGATTTGACCATTGAATATGACCTTAAAGAAATTATGTCACAAAAGCTTCCTGAGCTTCATTTTCTCAATAGCATTTTTTCAGCTGTGAACCGTAGCAAGTTGGACACAGTTTCCTCCAATTGGCAAAGCCAACGTCGTTGGCGGTGCAACCACAACCTTTTGCTTTTTCACTTTAAATATGGAAAACCGCAGTATCTTAATATAAACCCGATTAAAAAAAATATTTATGAGCAATGCATTCAGCTCTGGCTATTAATCTGCTGAAAAATGAAATTAAAATTAAGGTAATCAAAATCCGACCGGAAAAGTATAATTACCTTCTTCTTTACACCAACGCATTTAATTTGCCAATAAGAGCATCCCATTGCTTCGGTTTGTTGGCATACACAGGAAAAAGTCTGATGCAGTCAAATCGGGCGATCTTGGGGGCCAGTCGATATCCCCTCCTTTCGATTTCACACGTCCGGGAAACTTTTGCCGCAAGAATTTCATCGTTGACTCCGCTGTGCAAGGCTCACGTGAGTCTCGAAGTTCGAAGCCAAGCGACGAATAATTTCACTTTGTGTCGCGCAGATGTCGTTGCTGGGCAGTGATAGACGTAGTACTCGATAGACTCCTTCTCCTTTCCGTCCCTACAGCTGCGGCAAAAATCGTTTGAGCGATAGCCGTGATACTTTTTCCGATACGCACGCTGTGTTGCAACAATTGAACGAATGCACTCAATGTACTTTGTAACTATTTCCGCACGTTCTTTGGGCGTAAAGCAAAACATGGCTGATATTATATTCGAATAACCTTTCCAAAAAGCTTTTACTGCACGCAATCGGTTGAAATCTGTCAAAGTTATTCAATGTTTCCTTCCATTGATCACATATAGTTGGTGCACCCTGTACATATACATATGTAGCTACTTCATCATTTCATCGTAAACAAATTTTAAAAAATTTCCTTATATCATTTAAAAAAAATATATTTTCTTACACAAATTTTTCGGAATGTCTTCGGAAGAAATAAGTTCACTATCAAAAGTTGGTCAGCAAAGTCAGTGCCGACAGATATTGCGACGACTTGGCCAATAATATGTCAATAGTTATCGATAATAACTACGGAACTACCAATGTTGTCAAATCGTTGTCGCTCCTACCACAATAGGGCGAAAATATCTAAGATTAAAATGTTAATAAAAAATATATTGAATAACATTTAAATTTTTTCATTTATCTATGAAACTCATTTTCGTTGATATCAATTTTTAGAGCAAACTTTCCTTGAAATCGCTCGGACGATTATAGAGTTTTCTGATTTTTTTAATGTCTTCTCACTAAGAAAAAACTTATATATTAAGACCTGAAAGCTTCCGGAAATTGTAAATAAAACGAAAAATTTGTAATCTTCACCAATATTTTTTTGTCGCCTTCAAAATATGCTCCTTCTGAACCGATAAACATAAGCCAACTTTTTTTCCAAATTACTTCGATAATTTGACTTGTAGCCACTGTCCGCGATCACCTTCAGTTCCCTCTGCGAACTTTCTTTTACGGCCTCAATCGAGACGAAACGGTTTCCACGGAATGGCTACTTTAGTTTTGGAAACAAAAAAAGTCGCATGAGACCAAAACCGGTGAATACGGTGGTTGACCGATGGCGCAAACACCTTAAAACGCCGAAATAATACTGTAATAATACTCTTCCGCAGTAAGGCTCCTGTGTTTACTTTCTCAAATAATCGAACCATTTCGTATGCCTTATAAAGGGAACTAGGGAGACAGTAGAAGAAGTGCTTTCCAAGGAATTTGTGTAGCGCAGATGTCAGGGCTGGGCAGTGACAGAAAAAGTGCTCGATAGACTCCTCCAAAGCTATCTGGTTACGTTACACGTGATCCAGATCAGCTATCTTGTTTGCTTCCTTGGCAAAGGCCAGCTTAGCATGTATTTTGCCGCGGACAGAGGTACACCACCATCATGTGCATGTTTTATTGTGGGTAAAAGTGTTCCTTCTTTGTCTGGGATGTCATTGGGTCCAGGTACACAGCCCACGGCAGTACTAGTTCTAATTGAAAACTTGTTAAGATTCATTCTGCATTTTATCGCCTTCTGTCGTAAGTAACCACTCGGTAGCCTCCATGATTGCAAAGAGTTACGGCTGGAAAACGCTGCAGTTATTTGGTAGTCTCATGCTCATGTTTAATGAAAGCATGGGAGAATAAATTCCTCATCGCACTTTTCCATCGAGCTTTGCGCCATCTGTGGAGATAATTATAGCTTTCAGATCGAGTACGTCAGTGGCTTCCCACCCATGTCTGTTTGGGATTCTCGTGAAGAAAAGATTGTTGAAGCACACGCTGGAGGTAGCATAATCCAACTCCTTTGGTACTTTTGCAAGAGATAATTTTTTGTGCGCCCTATACTGAAACTCTTCCACGGTTGAGCTGCATTCAATCCGATTGCGTTGCAGCCCGCTTGTAGTTTCCCGTATAGAAGGGAGGAAGTTGAAGAGAGTCAGGAGTGCTTTTGAGGAAGTTGATGGCAGTGCTCCCGTTATCAGAATGGCAACCAATCGTTGAACTTTCTCTAGTGTGCTCCCGAAAGTAATTTTATCGAGAGCCTGCCACCAAACTGTGGATTTGTCTAACTACCGAAGTATAGATCCAGTACACGATACACAATCTTAGACTCCATCTCTTTCCTATCGCCAATCTGCCGTGTTCGGGCTTCAGTTTAGTTTGCTATCAAAGATTATCCTGACAAATTTCGCTTCAGTAGAGATAATGATCTTCACGCTCCATAGTTTATGTGGCTTGAAAACAGGCGCTCTGTACCTCCTTGTAAATAAAACCATTTCGGTTTTATGGGGGTCTAAATACCACTCACTATCCTCTATCCTTGCACCCGCTCCCAGCTCCAGCTCCGGATCGATGTCGAGGAAGATACCAAGCGTATACTCTTTCAAGTCAAGTCCTTTTGCATCCACCACTTCATGTAGGGCTGTATCTACATACATCCCCTTAGAGTAAGCAAGTTCCGTCGTACAGGCGTACATAGCTTTCTAGCAGCCTTTCAATGATTTCCAAGAGGGAAGACTAATGAATCGGAAATCCTTTGGATTGACTTGTTTGGATCTGTCTCCTTTTGGGGTAAAATATACTTTAGCCTTTGTCCATGTTTGATGCATGTATCATGTATCCTTCAAGTAGACGTTGTAAATTTTGCATAGAAGTGTGGAGCAGATGTTCGCAGCCCTCTGTAGTTCGGCGGGAAAGGTACCGTATAATCGTGAAGATTTAAATAGCGGTAATGCCTTTATCTGATATCAGTGGCGTGCTCCCTTTCCCTACGTGGGATTCGGTCGTGGATTGTGGACCATCATGGAAAAAGGGTGCTCATGAGGATATCCTGCATTTCTTGGCAAGATGTTATCCATTCACCATTTGGTTCCTGGATGGAATTAGGAATTGCTAAGGTCTTGGAGAAAACTCTTCTAAGTTTGTTGCCTTCTACATTTCCGTCAATGGCATTGCAGAAGGCTTTCCAAGATTATCGTTTTGCTTTCCTTATAGAGGTTTTGAAAGATTTTAGAAATGATTTACAAGGTCGTCAGGAGACCGTTCTTTTGGCTTCATTAAAAAGTTTTCTGCTCGTTTTCCACAACTCAGAGATTTCGTTGTTGCACCATTTGAGTCTCTTCTTTCCAAATGAAATAGATAGAGGGCATGAGGCCTCAAAAGCAGCGTTACAGACTTTGGTTACAAAGTTATTTCATTTAATTTTATTAAATTTCCTTAATACATTATTTTTTATTATGCTAATTTTTTTTTTATTTCATTTATTTTCTATAATTACACTTTAGTTAATTTTATTATATTTTAGTTTATTTTTTCAATTTGAAGTTAAAACACCTTCAGTTTGATCTATTTTATATATTTTAATATATTTAACTTACTTTACTTTCACTTAATTTTATTTAGTTAAATTTAATTTAATTAAATGTTATATTGCTTCATTTCACTTTATATAATATGCATACATGTATATATAATTCAACATTATTTTATTTAGTTTATTTTAATTTAATATTATTTTCTATGAATTCGTTCCATTCATTTAATGTACGTGTATTCTAATATAATTTATTTTTATCGATATTTCTTTCATATTATTTTATTTGCCTTTATTTTGTTTTGTTTTATTTTAATTTTTATTTATTATTTTGATTTTTCTCTGTATTATTTATTGCAAATCTGGCCTTATGTAATATAATTTACAGTTTTTATAATTAACATTTGATTTTGAACTTTCCTACAGGGTTCCAAGACATGTCTAAATCTATATTTGCAAATAAAATATTGAAATAACGTCAAATTTTCTCAAAAGTATACAGAAATAGAGTCATACGTAGGTTTATTTATATGTATGTATGTAAGTATGCTTACACTTTTGTATGTATATATGTACATTTTCATACGAGTATATATGTACATATTTTCATTTCCATCTTTTCATACGAAAGCGGCTAGCAAATATGTATGTTATGCGAAAACAAACATAATCATAACGTTATCAATTTCAAAAGTATATATGTAGATGAACACATATGTATCTACATATATACATATGTGTGTGTATGTAATATATATTTTTCTACACATGTGAATACGAGTAAATACAATATTTTTGTTCCTTTTGCTACTCTCTGGTATAGAATTCTCGCGCGCTCTCAATTCAACGTCAATGACAGCTGACGGCGAATGCCGCTTTAATACCAAACCTCCACTGCTGGTCATACCAGTGGCACCAGTTAGTACTTCGCTAACTATCATCGTCGTCGCAGTCGTCACAGTCGTCGATATACGTATTGGCGTTGACACCGCAACACCGCCAATATTCACCACCACGTTCGCGTACGTTCCATACCTGTGCACTCAGTACTTAATACAATAAGCTAGTTTGGCGTTTAGTAAAATATTTTCCACCTTCTTAAATATTTCCTGCATTTCGTGTGTATACATACTTAATACCGAAAATATCTGTTTTGAATTAGAGTTTTGTTTAAAATTCTGTGCTGTATTTTCTAAGCAACACATTTTTATATTTGTATATTTTATTATTATTTTTTTTTTTTCGTTAATTTCGCGGGCAAAGAAGTGACCATAATTTTCATATTTCTCTTCTCAACATTTTAGTGAAATTATATTTCAGCGCGTACAACAAGTTGATAGGGAAACTGAGAAAGTGCAGTGACATTTGTGGCGAAAACACGTGTAGAAATACGATAAAAACCGGCGGGTAAGTATAGATTATAAGAGAAGAGTTCTAAATAGAAAATTTGTGATCTGATGAAATATGCAGTTGGTTTATAAAATAAATTTTTGTGTATGTACATATATAAAATGTATATACATTTGTGTAAAAGCTGTTCTTTGAGTTGAGCGCCAAGGAAGTGTCTGAATATTTCTGAAAAAATTACTAAAAAAATGTGTGGCGATATAAAATATATATGTGAAGATATATACCTATGTACATATGTATGCGGTGTTTTTCAATTACTTTATTTGCGGGATACACATAAAATTTGTTTATAGATTTTTTATTTAGCTTAAAATAAAACGGAATCTTCACGTGTGCGAATACACGTAGATATAAGTACATACATTTAATATGTATGTATGCACATGTACATTTGTATACGTGTTCATACAACATTTGTGTATTTAAGTAGATATTTACATATGTCTGATTGTATTTGCATCCGTTTCGGCAATTATTTTCAATTCATTCATACATATATTCATGTACGCACATACATATATATACTTGCATATATATGTACATATATACACATGCATTTATGCACATATAAATATGCACATACATATACATATCTGCTTTTACATTCAAATGTGTTTTATGAGGGCCAAAAAGTGCAGCCGCCTAACTTGACTCGGGATTTAACTGAGATCAGCATCATTTTTACATCTGCTATGCACGCACATACATATGTATGTACATATGTACATACGAAATATAAATATTTAAGCCACTAACCTGAAAATGAAAAAAAAGTAATTAACAGATGTATGTATGTAAGATATACACACTAGATATACACATAATTGTGTACATATTTATATTTATACCAAAGTTCTACATAAATTATATGTATATTTGTATGGTAGCAAGTGTTCTGTGATCGTTAAGGTTCACTTTCATACTTTTATTTAGCCGGAGGTACATACTCGTACATACATACATATGTACATACTGTACTTTTATTTACATTTGTGTATGCATATGTATATTTATGTGCAAAATGTTAAAAAAAAAATTGTGCTGATACAATTCTAAATGTAAACTAAATATTTAGGTGCGTATATATTATATGTTCATATGTACATATGTGCATACATACAATATATATGTATGTATATAAAATAAAATAAGCACTTATCCGCACAACAATTCGTATGCATATATTATATTATACTAACTAGATGCATACATATATGTATGTATATTATTTTATATATTTATTACAAAAATATATACATATTTATACAAATGTTATATTAGGTTGGATCCTTTCACCTATGTATTATTTTTTGTTAATTGGGAATTAATAAATAAATATTGTGCAGGGCAAATAAACGTCATTTGGAGCTGGTGTATTATACTTAAATATATAATTGGCGCTTTGTAACCGCTGAAGCGATTTTCGGCCGAGCTCCTCCTCCATTTTGTTATTTTGGACCTCGATGTTTTTCCAACAATTTGAGGAACCTCCGAACGGTTTCTGAAGGGGTTGACAGTCCCTGTTGAGGGGCGAAAACCATTTAACTTATTTTTTATTTAAATTAATTTTCTATAACTTTTGGATGTTGGTCATACCAGGATTTGAGCCCGGGCCTTCCGAATGGTAGTACGCAAATCACTCGGCTACGTAGTGGTGAATTACGAGTTGCTTAATCCAAGCGAAGCAATTACCAAACACAGTCTTCTTCATGGCAATGCTCATCCACATGTAGCAGCACCATTTAAAAAAAAAACTCCATTGGGAAGTACCACTGCCCTCTAATACTTTGCTATCAATTCCTATCCTTTTTAGCTATAATATTTTGTGAAAAATCTGTGTGTAATTTTTTATTAATTATTGCCACATCATTTTTAGGCAACTTGCAAAGGTTTTTGGTAAAAGCTTAACAACTGACTCCATCAATTTTCATTTATTTATTTCTTACTTTTCGATGCTTACCAGAAATTATTTTAGTGGGTGACACTTTAATCTTCAGTCGCTTACTACATGTGTACATATGTAAATAAGTTGTAAAATTGTAACCTAAAGCTTTGCTAATCATAGACTTCCTTAGAAATTTTTATATTATAATTTTTGGTTAAGATTACTGTGTATGATGGACTTAGTTTCATTTCAAAACAAGCCTCCCATAGAAGTTCACTCGCCCCAATGTTGCTTACATACATATGTACATATAAAAGTGTATTCTTACACCAATACATACATATAGAAATGCTTTGTTCACATGCCGACAGTCTCATAACAAACCTCTATATACATACATATGTACATATATAATAAGTATGTACATACAATATTTTATGACGCGAATGGTCACAACAGAAAGTGTAAAGAAAACTACGCAATAATTCATTGATTTTGCTTTGTTTAGAGTTTTCAGTGTATTCAGCGTAATTGATTTTAATCACATTCTTAAAAGAAAAATAATCATTTCTCACAAACCGTAGTCTCACTCAGTTTTAATAAATTTAATTTGCAATACTGGTGCATTTGTTATTGCAGCGTTATTCCCATGGCATACCCAATTTCAAAAGCAAGATCAAATGCCATGGTATGGTGTCTAGTATATGTACGCCTTTTGGATTTTGATACCGTTAAAGTAACTTAAAAAATGTAAATGGAAATGCTATTTATAAATGCATTCAATGGCTATTGCTCCCATTAACATTATGGGTTGTGCTCACTCTGATAATACCGATGAACCGATATAGAATTCGAAAATAAAATTCATAGCGAAAAACTCAATCAACACCTTATGGGAATTTAAGCAAACATACACGTACATATGTAAACACACTTGTGCACACAATTCGCATATACGAGTACATATGTATAGGGCTTTCCAATGAGAGTGACATGAAATCTTTAAAAAAAAACGCACTAATTGCCAAGGAAACTTAATTTTTTTTAATGTAATGTGAAGTACAATCGATGCAATTAACTTCTAAATATAAAATCACTCAAATTGCCTCCATGACTTCTTTTGCAGGAACGAGTACGATGAACCCAATTTTTGAGCACTTTCCACTAAGTCAAGTTGTATGTCATGAATAGTCAATGACTTCAAATAGCCCCACAAAAAGTAGTCTAATTGTGTTAAATCACAACTTCTTAGAGGCCATTCATGTCAAAATTTCAAAATAATGTCAAAATAATTGAATCGTGATAAGTCGATTGTTGCACGTGCTGTGTGGCACGTAGCCTCGTCTTATTGGAACCAGATGTTGTTAAGATCAACTTCTTCCAATTGTGGCCATAAAAAGTTGGTTATTATTGATCTATACCGCTTTCCATCGACAGTAACGGTGCTACCAGCTTCATTTCGAAAGTATGGACCGGAAATTTCACCACGCCAAAATGGGTGCTTATGAATAATTTGAGGATTTTCTTCGCACCAGAATCGAAAGTTTGTTTTATTGACCACACCACTCAGATGAAAGTGAGGCCTTCTAGTTGTAGTTGTTGTATGTAAATGTAGTTCTTGCGTATATCTTGCCATGATGAAATTGTAAACATTACTAAATACAATGAAAAAAAGACAGATCATGGCATATTACAAAATGACCAAGGCGAAACTTAGAAATATTTTAATCCTCATTGGAAAACCCTTTATGTGCACGTTTAATTTCAGTATGAAAACATGAAGAGTAATGTCTGGCTCCCGCAGATTAAGCGTTTGAGATAGTGGATGTAGAATTTTTCTTTTTTTTTCAACTAAACATTGAAAGATTTTTGGAACATGTTTCCACCGAAAGAAATTCTGATTCATTGTTTTACATTGATAAACATTTTAAAATTCATATAGTACATGTGCACATACTTGTACATATGTACGTATTTTACGGTCATATTCGTAAGTAATAATTTTTAACATACGTCGTTTATTCTCTTTGTTAAGACAGCAGTCTGCTGTAGATGCTTGAAAAAATTAATTTTTTCTTAAATCTAAGAATATGTGTTCGAAATTTCAGTGACCAAATCGACATATCTTTGAAGTTAGAGCAGTTTTAGTGGCCGAGCACTGAGCAGATATGTTTAAGTCCGATCGAAAATATAGCTGATTCAACTAAAATATTAAATTATCTTCTATTTAAACTAAAACAGTTGGACAAAAGTATTGTTTAAACTATTTTTATGCAACTTAAAGGGAACTTTTTTCAAACTTCGGATAAATTTGGAATTTTCCAAAATCTTTCGATATTTTTTAGTTCATGTAGAAGATATGCTCATAAATATTTAAAATAAAATTGGTTCAACTGTTCCAGATACATCGCACGACCTTCATCACCGGCGCCGTTTCATGAGTTCAGACTGCAGCCGCTTCATAAAACTCATCACAACATTGGGAAATTCCAAGCTTAAATATAGCACATTATTGTCTGAAATTTTGTTTTACCGCAGTAATTTCCTTCCCTTTCAAACAAATGCTAAAAAAAATTTGTTTTCGGGTTCCCATTAATATTGGACTAAGAAATTTGGAAAGTATGAAATTATTATGAATATTACGTCTACACCGTAAATAAGGATTTCATGTTGGCTTGCCTCAAGACATAACTCCCGACTCTGTATGCTTGATTGCTGCAATTGTCATTCTCAAGCAAATAGCAAGTCGAGACACTAAATTAATTGAAATTGGCAAATTACCATTTGAGATATTGTTTTAAATCTATTGCCTGCTGTTAATTGTTAAATGTTTAAGAACTTTTAATTAGTCAACATGTTTGGTTGGCGCCATTTTTCAAATATTTACATTAAGAATTTAATTATTGCTATTATCTGTCAAAATGACAGCGTGTAGGCAATCTACGCGTATGAGCGCCTGAGGCAATGTGTGGTAAAGAGGCACAAGGTGGCTGAAGTAGAATACATACATACATGTACGTATACTGGATTAACTGTTATCATGAAAATTTCCAAAATAAAAGTTTACCTTGCTAACAATTGGAGCAAACAAATATAATATTTCTGTATTTAA